GTTGTTCCCCAGCCTTTTTCAATAGCCGGCAATCTCAAAATACGTGACCCTGTTTACTACGGAAGAGGCAGGTACGCCGTTCAGAGTCTCCGTCTTGCTTTTTAGGTGGTGAGTTCGCCGTCTGCTGACGGTAGCCGCTCCTAGCCCCGTGTTTAGCTGGCTTGGTGTTCACAGCCCCAATATCCATTGGTTCCAAATCGGGGTTGTTCCCAGGCCCGCTTTCTTCCTTTTCAGCTAAGGCTGTGGGTGTGGCGTTTTTCTTTTCCATTCTGCGGAGGTATTTCATCATGTCAGCGAGTTCCACTTTTTCGTCCCTCATTTCCCTGTCCGTGGCCCAGCCAGTCACTGTTTGCCTTACTACGGGTTCCAGCCCCGCCATAAACCATTGATAGTGGAGCTCCGCGGCCACCATAGGACTTCCGTTCACCAAGGACTGGTATTTCTCAACGTAGCGCTCTACTGACAGTTTTCCCTGTTTAAGGTTTCTCAGTTCCGCCATAGCCTGCTCCCTTGCGGACGCCGGGATAAACCTGCAACGTAGCGCATCCCGGAAGGCCTGCATGGACCTGGTGTGCTCCGGGAACGTGGAGCCGTTTCATAAGTGTAGCCACAATCGCCGTGCGTCCCCTTCTAACAAAGAAGAGGCCAGGAGGAGTTGGAAGTCTTCTGGGGCATTTTGAAGGCGGAGGGATAGGTCTAGGGAATTGAGAAACTCCTCTAAAGCCTCTACATCTCGGCGCCCGTCATATCGCGTGGGACGGCACAACGGGAGGCAATCCTCTTGAATCGTTTTTGGCGGGAATGCATTTTCTCCAGAGTTGGATGCCGAAATGAAGCTGGCTTCCGCTTGCTGGGGTTCCGGACCGCGCATCGACCCTCCCTCCGTGAGTGGCTCATAGTCGACTTCCATTTTGCCGAAGGGAACACTGAAATTGGGAGAGGCTTCGTCTACAAGGGCAGTGGGTTTTATTTCGACACAAATAAACGGACAAAATAAAATTTTTTTTCGTATATATTCTTCTCAGTCGTTTGTTTTTCAGCTATGCTTGATCTCACCCGTGTGGGGGTGGGGCCCGGGCTCGCACCTTGCCCCGATGAACCATGCGGTGCTACCAAGTGTAACGCTAGTTCTCTGGCATTTATCTGACCAGAGACGAGCCGCAATGAAGGCAAAGACTTAAAGCAAGAGTTTCCCAAAAGCAGCTGACCTCCTTCCGCGCTACCTAGGCATCCTGGGCGTTGAGCCCAGGGCCAGGGTGTCACAGGGAGGAGGCAGCCAGAAATGGGGTTGCAGCGCACCTCGCTGCGGTTGGCAGAGCAAGCCAGCCCCACGCGTGCACGAAAGGAAGCTTCAGGGAAGCGTCCTTTGCTGCATGCTTTGCTTCGTAACGAACTTGTATAACGTTTGCAGGCGCTTACGCGCAGCATGCCGAAACCGTCGTTAGGCTCCTGTGCTAACTCTGCGCTAACTCATGGTACATTAACATTTGTTCCAGCAAAAAACATACCCTCAGAAAGAAACCGAGTGGCAAACAGTCTGGAACAAAGTTGACAGTTCCAATTTGGCATATCGTCTCGGATTTGAGAGCACTAGAATCGGCTGCGTTATTGGAAGGCGTGTCGCAGTAACAACTGGGACTGATCCGCAACCAGATCAAACAGGCAGGAGCGATCCACAAGGGCCAACTGAAACTGTAACAAATGAGGCTGTGTTTTTCTGTAAACTAAGCCCTGCAACGACGAAGGATTGAGCCCCCTTTAAGTAAGTATTGGGTCTTGGAGCGCAGCCCCCAGGAAGGGTTGGCAAAGTTGTCTAGAAGCAATAACCAACAAAGCTGCTGAAGTGCTTTTTGACGCTGTGCGTTTGTCTGCTTCATTTCCTTTCCTGCAGTGAGGAGTAGTTCAACGGACTTATAGCACGTACAACTGCATTGAAAAATATGACAGCAGACGACCTGCCGACTCCTGTTGGAGGTGCCCCGCAAGCAGCTGCCGTCCTTACCATTCTAACTGCAGGTTTGGTTGCTAGGCTGACAGTTGTCTCTGCCTAGAAAGGCAAACTTCCGTTAGCTGCCTAGATAACCACCCCTTTTCCTCGTCAGCTACTTTACAGAGAACTTTGTCAACCAATCCACGCTTGCTAGCTTCAGGCTGTGAAGCTTCCATTGCTGCGTGGACGGCCAAACTGTAACTGTTCCAAGCAACAGACCCGACGCAGTGAAAGGTAACAAAGACATTGGGGAAAGTCAGAGTTGAGGATTTACACTCCGAGTCCTTCCCCCCTCATACGGCGGTTGCAGTTTTCTATCCAACTTGCAGCGAACAAAGAACTCGACAATGCACTTAACAATCTGAGGCTAGCTCACTGTCTAGCTTCTCTATGCAGAGGCAAATGCCACTATAGCAGTTAAGCCTGCTACAAGAAGGGAGGGTACGGCAGCAGCTGCACCGCCCTGGACAGGAACTTTGAGGTCTTCCTCAGTCATTGCCGTCAGTAATGTTTGTCGTGCAGTGAGCGCTTCGTAATACTCCTTGCTGCCACACAAAACCAAGACATGAGGAAGCAGACAATCTAGTTGCGAAAGCATAAGATATGCTCTATAGATCTGTCATCCTGAGAAGAAACCATCAGCTTGAGACTTACTCGAAAGGAGCCTTGTCCTGCTCCGCTTCAGGGCTCATCTGACAAAAAAGATATGCGGTTTTTGTCGAAGATGGGGTACCGTCTGCGCTTTCAGTGCATATTCCAACGGCACAGCCAATGTTGGTGCTGTTAGACCAGAGAAGGCTTGCGAGGTTGGCACCCTCGGGTTTCGTCCAGAACTCCTGCCAATTATCAGGATACGATTTCATATGTCTGAGGGGAGTGCAGCAGTTCGTGCAACAAAGACAGACAGAAATCAGCATTTAAAGCCGAGCGAAACGGCGACGATGACGTGATGTTTGTGCGGTGTGCACGGGGAAGTAGGCAAATAGAGTTGGTATGGCGAAGATCTGTTTGCCATGTACTCTTCTTTTCCAAGCATAATGCAAATGCCGTTAAAGCTAAAGAGGGTACAAGAATAGGGCATATGCGTACACTATTTTACATCTATTACTTCTTATACTAGTTTGTTTGTTTCCTCTTGTGTTAGTGTCATCCTACAAGATGTGTCAAACTCACGAAAGTCCAGCGGTCAGGGCTTCCTACACCGATCGGCGATAGTTCCTGTCTTCAGCTGTTGTGAACTGCACGACAAATTCCTTCTTCTTCCTCTGAAAGTTCAACAAGAAAGCGCAAGAAGGCAAAGAGCTTTCACGTTTTCTGCTTAGGGGGAAGTCCAGCAGCGCCTGAAGCTGCACGTATGTCACCAAATCAAACGTCTAAGGATGAATTTGCTCACCAGGCCTGAGATTGCCTCTGCACATGTGGTGAGTGTCCGTCCACCATCCTTCACTCCAAATGTTTCCTTTACGCTGTCAATAAGTGTGTCGTCCTTCGTCAATTGATTTATCCGCACAGACATCTGGCCGACGCGGGCCAAGTTGACGGAGAGGTACGCATCTGCAAGCAACGTAAAAAACCACCACAGGTGCCATTTTCCTGTCACCAGGAGAAGAGATGTGCGCTGACCTAACGCCTGGCTTGCACGGCAGTGCAGTTGTGGTGTTTTCTTACACAGGACTTGAAAGAAAAAATGAAGAAAATGTGAACGGACGCGCGTTTACCTTCGCCTGCTTCCTCGACTGTAAATGCCGGAGGTTGTGTCGCTGCCGTCGCTGGCTCGAGCCCAGAGAGCGCCAAGAGGCAAACAGCAGCTGCTCCCTTAAAGATGGGCCCCATAGTCAAGAAGAACAGACAGTAGAGTATGAAAACAATTAAGCTGATTATTTAAAAAACTAATAAAGCAAGGTGAGTGTGGAGGATGAAGATTAAGAGGGAAGGGGAGGTCTGGGCCGGACCGGTTGGTCCGCCGGGCTGGGCACGCATCCCGCGGGCGGCGACGTCGCCACCAGCCTAATGGATCTTTGAGTCAATAAGGGTTTACACACAACTCAAGATAAATAAATATAGACCAATCAAAAATGAGGATAAGAAAGGGAGATAGCGGGAGGCGACAACTTTTTGGGTCATGCTCGGTAAAGCCAGCCTGCACTGCGGCGCCGTAGTAGGCGGTGGCAGTATGAGTTGACCTGTAGGCAGTGGGAGTATTAGTTAGTAACACTAATATGAGCGATATTGTGTACTTTATGAATCGATCCGCGGACCATCCCTCAGTACGGGCAGTCGAACAGAACAGCTCAGCTTGTTGCCCGCTGGTCTACTGATATCAGCCAGTATCGCTGCCATCCTAGGTGTCCATTGCCTGAAATTATCTTCGTGTTTTTCCGTAAACACCTTGAAATTATTCTCTATCAGTATGTGTGAGGATTGCAATTTGAATTTCTAGCCAAAATCCAAACGGCATACCCTGAGGTTCCCTGGAGAGCCCCAGAGGTGCGTGCTACACAATCAGAACTGAAGTTGCACGAGCATCACGAGACAAACCACTTCTACGCAATCCACTTACACGGAAGTCTATGAGGACATACACTCCAGGGAGAATATTTATACGCATTACATATAAAATGCAGTTTCGGTGTATTACATCGAGTAGAGTGTCGCTCACGTAGATACCTGACGTGCTGTCGTGCGTGAGCACTACAGTGTGTTAGTTTTATTGGTTTGGTTGGAGAGGCGATGCCGAACATTAGATAAAACAGAAAACATCGTGTTGGCCGTTACACGTAACTCAGTTGGTAGCAACCCGGCAGAGCGGATTTCCCCACAGTACCGATCAGCTGCAGCAACCCTAGAGGTAATCGCGGAAAAAAGAACCAGCCGCAATAGCATGCTGGTACTGCAGGCTATTCCCAGGAGTACTCTTGTAGGTTTGCTTGTCGACCAACCCAACAAGGACCAGAACCACGTTTTCTCATTAATACGCAGTGTCCTTCACACTCCTTACTAATCACGGAGTTTCTGTCTGCCATCTTGTGCATCCAATTCCGGCGGCGATTTTAATATGGCATATGCGGCAAGGTCGGACATGTATGTGTCTACAGTGGGGACATTGGCCTTTCCTCACCTAGTCTCTACGTCGATAAAGTTATAAGATTTATTATTTAGGAAATTATAATTTATTTCTTCGATGAAAATCTACTGAAGTGTTCGTTTCCCGAGTTTTCCGTGTATTCTGGAGATGAACTGCTAAACCTCAGGGCCTTACACGCATCAAAACAGCGGTCGATGCAGCGAGCAAACACGAACGCTGGGCCTTGCCTCTCCTTAACTAAAGGCTAAGGCCCAATAATTAGTTTCGCGAATTATTAATTTTCAATAGTTGATCATGTGAACTACTTCAGTTATCTTTGTGGGACGATAGTCTGCCGCTCAAGTGGTGACAGCGGTGCTGTTCAAGACTGAGC